GCTAATAATTCTGACTTCAACTGTATATACCGTATGTAATGTAATATTAAAAGGGAATGACTTTAATTGTTTCACTCAAAAATAAAACGAAATAAAAAGCTAGTTTCTTAAATGTCCTGACGTGATAGATTTCTGTATTTTGTATAATGTAAATGCATGCCTTTACTTAGATTATTTCATTTCCCTTCAGCTTAGTCTCTATTTCAAAGGTCACCACTGCGGAATAAACCGCCAACTCTTTCCAGCATATGTTTTACACAGTGGATGTCCTTCCAGCTGCAACCTAGTAATGGGAAACACCCACACACACACAATTACTTTTTAAATTATTAAATTTTTTTTTTTAATACATTTGTTTTTAATTAATTATTCTCAGTAGTGACTATGATTTCATTACTTTTCAGAATTGGCTTAGTGTAATTTAATAATGTTTGTTTGTTTATTTCTTTACTAGAACAGCTACAACATACAGTATACAGTATCACAACAATAAACAATACTACAAATAGTTCACATCTTATACCACCAAGCCAGAAATAACGTTTTATTAAATAAGAATTATTCATTGTCTTAAAAAATTAAATAAGCTTTCATTTAGTTGTAGGGACAAGAAAATATAAGGCATTGAAAATCTGCAATCTAAGGGTTTCAAAAAATATGAAAAATATTGAGAAAATCATCTTTAACATAGATTAAAACTAAGTCCTTTGCAATGCATATTACTAACTAAAAATAAAGCTTTATATGTTTACAGTAGGAAATGTAGAAACTCATCTATAGGACATGACCTGTAGCTAATATTCCAATTCTAATATAATAATTTCTAATGATTTCTATTCTAATATATTGTTTGGCTAAATAATTAATTATCAATAATTCTGACCCATACAATATATTGTTGACTATTACCATAAATATACCCGTGCAACATTAGATTTTTGTGCACAATTTGCTATCATTTGTGAAGGAAATATGATCGACCATAAATGGTTATATTAATAATAATTATGTTTTAATTAATTATTTTTTATTTCTGAAGAGAAAGAGAACTCATTTATGTTTATTTTTTTTATATGCATATGAGAAGTGGGAAGTGTCTATCTACAGTAAGTGTGTGTGGATGCTCACCTGTGCAGTGTTCAGTCTCCTCTGTGGATCTTCAGTGTGTCTGTGTGCGTGTGTGTGTGTGTGAGTGAGTGTGTGTGTTTTCTTTGACTGTACGTGTGTTTATACTCGAGCTTTGATCCCTGAAGTCATCAGTGTTCCTCCACACACTGTTATTGATCTGTTTAGGCACTCACACTGTCCTGCTGAACTGCACATACACACGCTGCATTTTAATATTATTTTTATTATTAATAATAATAATAATAATAATAATTGCAATAATAATAATTATTATCATTATATATTATTATTATAAATATAAATTGTTATTATTATTATTATAGTAAGAGTATATAATTATTATTATTATTACGATTATTATTATTAATTATTATTATTATTAATATTATTATTGTTATTATCATCATTATTATTATTATTATAATTACGATTATTAATTATTATTACGATTATTATTATTAATTATTATTATTATTGTTATCATTATTATGGCATTATTATCACTATTATAGCATGGAAAGGCATCCGCTATGTAAAACATATACTGGATAATTTGGCGGTTCATTGCGCTGTGGCGACCCCAGATTAATCAAGGGACTAAGCTGAAAAGAAAATGAATGAATAATAATAATAATAATTATTATTATTATTATAGTTTTAAATATAATAATAATAATTATTATAATAACTATTATTATTATAATGATATAAATATTGTTACTATTATAATAATATTTATTATTATTATAAATATCAGCATTATTGGTCGATTGCAACACTGTATGTAATTCTCCAATTACAGCCAATTAAACTATTAACATATAAGCCGGTGCTATGAATCATCTTGACCATTGGGGAATTAATTTAATAATATATTAGGGAATAACTTGCCTAATTAAACTTTGTGTCTCTTTAACCTGAATTCTATTACTAAGCACTACTATACTATCTTGCAAAATAAGAAGAAAATACCAAGCACGGTGACTATGTCAAAGACAAAAGAGATGACTTATTGCCTAAATTACTTACTTGTAGAAATTAATTATTAATACTAATATGTTTTGAAGTGTGGCACTGTTGCTCAGTGGTTAGCACTGTGGCCTCACGTGGCCTAGCACTGTGGAGTTTGCATGTTCTCTCCGTATTGGCGTGAGTTTCCTCCGGGTGCTCCAGTTTCCCCCACAGTGCAAACACATGCACTATAGGGGAGTTGATGAACTAAATTGGCTGTAGTGTATGAGTGTGTCTGTGTGAATGAGAGTGTTTGGGTGTTTCCCAGTACTGGGTTGCAGCTGGAAGGGCATCCGCTGTGTAAAACATACACTGGAGTAGTTGGTGGTTCATTAGGCTGTGACGATCCCTGATAAATAAGGGCCTAAACTGAAGTAAAATGAATGAATGTGTTTTGAAATGTGTTGAGAAAAAAAATCTCCATTAAGCAAGGTTGGGAAATAATTTCATAAGCTCATTCCTCAAAAGCAAGTATTGATGTCAATCAAAGTGTCAGTGTCATCAAAATGAAAAGTCCTGACACCACTGTTTATGAACAAGATAGTCAAATGGCTTTGTCATGTTTTCATTATGACACTTTACTCTGGACATTTTTTCAGTGCAAAAACAGTCAGATGTTGGTGACTCGTCCTGAAAATGCTCAAGACTGTATACTATTTCCACAGCCATTTGAAAACTACAGTTAAGTTAGACATCACTGCATTTAGTGAGGTATCTGAGTACAAGACACTGAATATGTATGTTTCACATGTTTACTCTGCATTTGCTCTTTGCAATTCTAATTTACTCACAGCATTGTGCAAAAGAATAAACACACCCTTATATACTACAAACATAAACTCCCTTTGGGTTGAGCTGTGCACAACTGCACACAATATTGCAGTACATATTGGAACTGAGCCTATAACATACACAGGTCTGTAAATCATTCATCAAACTGTTCAATTTTAAAGACATTTTCAGGAAAAAATTAATTAATTTTTTAATTTTTTATAAAGTTTGCTTGATTGATTTTGACATCAAGTTCAACATTTTTGTCTGTAATGACTCAAGTAATGAAATGAGGACTGTTAGTTTTTTATGCAATGACTATTCAGCATTTACAAGTTTATTTTATTTTGACTGACATGACATAAGCATAATGTTATAAACAGCAGAGAGTTGTATGAAAGCAACTGATGCATGTCCAAAAGCATTTGCAATGTGTTGAAAGGAATGAGAAACAGCTACTAGGATGTGCACAAATGACTAACTGTTTTGAGAAATGCGTTAACTGTTGTGCAAATGTAAATAGTGTAGTGAGAAATGCACCAAAGGCACTGAGAAAATGCTGTAAAACAAATAGTTAAACATTTTGCTGTAATCCAGGAACACAAGAGAAGAGTAGCAATCTGAACTGTGCTATTACTTTTATTCATTGCAATATATTGATTATAACACAAAGTGGTCACACTTTACAATAAGGTTCATTAGGTAATGTCAATTAATGCATTTACTAACATGAACAAACAATTAATAATACATTTACTACTGTATCTGTTCATGTTAGTTAATGAAAATACAGTAGTTCATTGTTAGTTCATGTTAACTCATGGTGCATTAACATATGTTACAAGCATGCACTTGGATGTTAATAATGCATTAGTAAATGTTCAATTATGATTAATAAATGCTGTACATGTGTTGTTCATGTTAGTAAATGCATTAACTAATGAACCTTATTGTAAAGTGTTACCCACAAATTATATTATACAAGCTTCAATTAAAGGTGCAGAATGGCAGAAATCACTTCCAGAATCTGTAATAGACATTAATGAGCAGGTCATGTGATCAGGGTGTCACACTGACTGATGTGACATGATCTGACCGACCCTGTGTGTGTGTGTGTGCGTGCGTGCATGTGTGTGTGTGTGTGTGTTTTATATTTCTCAACTCAATGCAAGTATGAAATCCTGCTAATAGGAACAATCCCATCTATATAAATCTGCTGATATTATCCATCATTTATCGTCTGACTTCCACATAAAATATTAAACATCACACTCTTGTCATTTAAATAGTCTCTCTAGTAATTAACAGGTAAAATAATGTATGGGTTTTTTTCTTTATAGAATGATACTAATAATATCAGCATAACTAATGCATACAAATCTGCACATAGCAAACACACCGACCGACAGACGCTACTCACTGAAATATACATATAAAAATAGTTACCGCTACATCAAAATACAGCAGCTACAGATTATTCTCTCTGACGGCTCTGATTCTGGGTCCTTCTCAGAATACACAGATATATGATTTAAAGAGCTATCCTATTTGTAAAGCAGCTGTCCTTCAAGGTAAACAGTTTGTAAAGTTGTAAATAAAAAAAAAGTGTCTGATAAATAAAGATATTGTCTCGTAAAACAAAGAGTCGACTCTGAATCCCTTTAACGAGTCATTATATTTTTGAATCTTTCGCATGCTACTGATCTACATCAACGCAATCAAAGTAACTAATTTGCATAAACTCCGCCCCCAGAAATTACAGACGTCAATGAAGCATTATGCTTGTGAAACTCTACAACAATATTTATTATTTTGACTTTATTGTGAGGAATAGGTTTATGGTAGACGTTAATGAAACACAATGTAATAAGTAATTTAATAAATAATTCATTCATTCATTTTCTTGTCGGCTTAGTCCCTTTATTAATCCGGGGTCGCCACAGCGGAATGAACCGCCAACTTATCCAGCAAGTTTTTACGCAGCGGATGCCCTTCCAGCCGCAACCCATCTCTGGGAAACATTCACACACACATACTCATACACTACGGACAATTTAGTCTACCCAGTTCACCTGTACCGCATGTCTTTGGACTGTGGGGGAATCCGGAGCACCCGGAGGAAACCCACGCGAAGGCAGGGAGAACATGCAAACTCCACACAGAAACGACAACTGAGTCGAGGTTCAAATCAGCGACCTTCTTGTTGTGAGGCGACAGCACTACCTACTGCGCCACTGCCTCGCCCTTAATAAATAATATAAATAATAATTCTTGTTAATTTTCAGTCAGAGCTGTATCCCTTCTAGAAATAGTCCACAATAGATAGAGAGAGACCAATCAAAACAGGCTTGGCAACAGCTGACCAATCAGAGCAGAGCTGGTTTATGTAAGGGGGAGGAGCTTACAGACCTGAATTGATTTAAATGAATCGAATCAAAATAACTGCAACATAAATTCTGAGGAAATTATGCTGAACTATGCTGACATGATCTTCAGCAGCTCAAACACTCTAATGGCTAATGGACAGACGGCTGCTTCTCACTCAGGGCTGCTGTTTATGCTAATGAGGAAGAGATGGACACTAGTGGGCGGGGCTTTCCCCCCTCTGATGACACATACAAATAGAGAATGTCAATCAAAGTGTTTCTGCAGACTGTTTCAATCAAGTCTGATTATAACAAATATAATTAATTCATGTTCACTATTAGAGGCTGGAAATATGCACAGATTAACTGTGTTTAAACCCATTATAAAAGTGATTTATATGGCATAATAGATGCAGTTTAAATGAAGAAGTTGATCAATGATGTGTTTTCTGAGAAGGACTCTTCTTCTGTCTCTCTGCAGTCAATCCTGTTCTCCAGCCGCGTCCGTCTGATTTCTGTTGTGTTTTTACGGATTGACTGATCTGATGGTTCATCACTGGAACTGCAGGCAACATGCAAATATACAGAGGAGGATTCAGGAGCACAGATCGCTGAAACACAAGAAAACACAAGACAAAACAACAGGCTCAGCATTCTCATGGTAAACATGACTTATATTTAGTATGTTGTTTATAAACACAATTGCATTTACTGCATCAGAATAACGACTAATTATAATTATTATTAATAATTTATTCTTTAGTTGACGCAGTGGCTGTCACCTCACAGCAAGAAGATCGCTGGTTCGAGCCTCAGCTAGGTCAGTTGGCGTTTGTGTGCAGTTTGCATGTTCTCCCTGCATTGCGTGGGTTTCCTCCGAGTGCTCCGGTTTCCTCCACAGTCCAATCAGCCAGGAAAATATAGTTTTGTGCAGTAGAAGCCACTGTGGTCTTTTTGAACTCGCTCTTTAAGATGCTTCTGGTAGAACCCAGAATAGCAAAGTCCACTAAAGGAGGTCGTGTATTTTCATATATGGCTCCTAAAGTCTGGAATAGCCTTTATGCTAATGTCCGAGGCTCAAACAGACTCTCTCAGTTCAAAACTAGATTAAAGACTTAGTAAAGCATACACACAATGCATCACATAACTGTAGGATGTGTGAGTTTGCTGGTGAGTGGGTTTGACAAACCACCTGTAGGACTCACTCCTCCTGTCTTAATGCACCAGGCACTTTGTTAGAAATACTTATAAATAGATGTGAATTGAATTGAATATGGGCGGCACAGTGGCTCAGTGGTTAGTAAAGTCGCCTCACAGCAAGAAGGTTGCTGGTTCGAGTCCAGGTTGGGCCAGTTGCTGTTTCTCTGTGGAGTTTGCATGTTCTCCCTGCGTTCGCGTGGGTTTCCTCCAGGTGCTCCGGTTTCCCCCACAGTCCAAACACATGCGGTACAGGTGAATTGGGTAGGCTAAATTGTCCGTAGTGTGTGTGTTTGAATGAGTGTGTGTGTGGATGTTTCCCAGAGATGGGTTGCAGCTGGAAGGGCATCCGCTGCGTAAAAACATGCTGGATAAGTTGGTGGTTTAATCCACTGTGGCGACCCCGGATTAAGAAAGGGACGATAAGAAAATGAATGAATGGATGGATGAAGTTTGTCTGCCAGGTGCACGTGTGTGTTTACCTGTCTGTGTGTTTAGCTAGCGACGGGCTGCTCCTGGTGGTGTTTCTGCTGTGGTTCATCAGTGATGGTCGATGAGCGACACTCACTGCAGAACAAACACCATCATCATCATCATCATCGTCGTCAGAAAGCTGTATTTACAGCAGTGTTTAGACACTCACCTGTTATCATTCACATCAGAGCTGTTTCCTGTTCAGAAGAACAAAACATGCATCAACATCTGTACAGAAATATCCACATGCAGATGCACTGCTAACACTCTAATCTAAAGGCTGAATATTGCTGATGCTTGACACCTTTAACGTCACGTACTGTGAAACAACTGACATAAATACATCATTTGAAAATAAATAAAAAAAACTTTTGAGCATTTTAGTTAAAGCTGCTGTATGTAAGAGTTTGACTCTTCTAATGCATATAAACACCAATATATGTTTGCAGATATTCAGAAACATGCTCAGTGAACATTCTTGTTTATCTGAAAAACAATGCTGAAGTCAGATATTCTGCTTTGAAAATGTGCATTACGTGCTGAAACGGCCGTCTTTGTTTTGGTCATTTAACCCGTCCAAGTTATATTCCAGCACCCTGGGTTGCCAGATGGTGTAAACAGCATATTTCATTAATTCAGTCAGGAAGACTCTCAAAACATGCGTCTGTGACTGAAATGCGACCTCTGGTGGACAGTAGCAGACTCCGAAATGAGACGCAGATTCAGAGTTCCACATGAGGTTATTAATTAGCAAATAATATAAATATTACTAGCGTAGACATTAGGTGAGCAGGTGAGCCGGTCCTAACTACACGCTACGTTATGGGATACGCAGTGATGAGCAATTGGGCTGTTTGCACCAGACGAAACACGACAGAAATGTAAACACAGCCATCCAGAAGCACAGAATAGTGCACTCACTGCACTCCAGCGTGTACTGGTAAGGTTTATAATCTAATGAATACATATTAAACCTCTTTAATATGATTAAATGTAGATGCTGAATCACTGATATGTGTTGGTTTGCACTGAGTCTCAGTTCTGAAGTTCAGTTTCAAACAGTTTATTTTATTCTCCAGATCGGAGCTGAACTATCTGCTGCTGCTTTCAGTAGTATGGTGATAAATGTCATGTGAAATAGCATTCAGACTCACATTATTAGCATTAAACACTGAATAAAGCACATGAGATGTACCTGAGCTGAGCATTGTCAGCTTTCTGTTGTTCAGCTGTGAGAAATAGAAGCCGTTTCTAAAATATCAATTCAAGTTGGAACAAAGTATGGAGAATATTCCTTCTATTGCATGCTGTTGCTTTTATTTACAACACAATATAAATCAGCCTTAAGGCTCGATCGTCAGACTCCCTCCTGTTGGTCCTCAATCTGGCAACCTGCGCTTGCATTTGTTTGATCCAGGAATGCAAAACTTAGTTTAACCACTTGGTGTCAAACTTACAAACTGCACCTTTAAAAACTGTCCAACCAATGAGATTTGTTACATTTTTCTATGATTTAAGTCGCTGAAGTTACAGTAAAACACCAGTTGGGGGCGCTCAAGCACAGTTTTAATTTAATTAATTTTGGCTTCAGGTCTTAAAGCCCCTCCCTCTTCCATTAGTCAACTCTGGTCTGATTGGTCAGCTGTGGCCAAGTCTGGTTTGATTGGTCTTTTTGTATCTATTGTGTTCGCATCCTTCAAGGAGGCGGGGATTATGCAAATGAATCACTTTGTAGATTGTTTACATTGATGGACTTTATTGTTCACATTTCTTATTAGACCATAAACAGAGTAATAACACTGATTTACCGTTAGTAATGTGGAGTTTCTGTGTGCAGTTTGTAGTTTCGTGGGTTTGTCTTTCGTGCTCTGAAAGTGTCCTGTTGATATGAGCACACACACACATTCGGTCAGCTGTAGTAAAACACGGTAAAACAGCAATCAGAAACACTGACGCTGGTAATTCACCTGCTGGTTAAACTGGACTCAGTCTTGGATGAGGTTAACTTCTGTTTTTCACTGCTGCTGTTGAACATCGCATTGCTGAATGTGATTGGCTGATCGCGGCTGCGCAGGAACATGTGATTGGCTGATAAGGAGGCCGGGTAATGACCTGGACGAATGGGCTTGGCTGAGGGCAAGATATCAATGCAAAACATTTTGACACTTTATAATTAGATTTATAATATGATTTATTATTACTGAGATATTAAATGTATGATGGGTATCCTTTTTATACAAATATTGTAAAAAAATATATTTTTTAATTTTAATCCATGTGTACAATATATGTTTTTTAAAAATGTTATACTTCATATATCAATTAAACAAATTATTAATATGTAATAAGTAATAATTTACATGTATTAAATAATACATAATTAAATAATAATAATAATATTGTAATAAAATTAAGAATTATTGAGAATTATTGAGAAAAATTGCAACTTGAATTGAATCGAATAACATGCATATGCACAATATATTACATAAAAATATTATTAGATTTATAAATAATAAAATTTATACTTAATAATGTAAATATGAAATAGAAAAAGATATGAAATATGAAATATGAAATAGAATGCACTTTATATAATAGATTTTCATTGTGTTATTTACATTTAATGTTAGTTTTCGCAATTGAATTATTTCACATATTAAATATTTGTAATATACTAAAACATTTCATATTTATTAGAGATAAATAGCTGTAATATTAATTTAAATATAATAATTCTAAATGAATATTAAAAATATAAAAAATAAACAAATGTAATATTATTTTTCTAAATTATACTTGTACTAAATTATTTATTTTATTGATCTCTACAGTTTAACAAAGTGACTTTTATTGACATTTTAGTCGTTAGAAATAATATAATGTAGAAGAAATAATATATAGAGAGTAATAAGTACAGAAAATACACTGGCAGTTTGTTACAAGGGTTTTTGTAGTGTAATATACAACACTAATCCAGACAATATAGCGCTGCAAACGATTGGAAATGAAAGCGACGTTTCCATCCACATATTTTTATGCGTATTTTGGATTATTGCATAAGAAAAACGCAAAGATGTAGAACTTATGCAAACAACTGAGTAGGATAAACTTTTTATCAGATAAAAATAAATGTATTGCATGAATAAACATAAAAGCTTGAACCACAAAATACGTACAACTACTAATTTAGGGGTTTTTTTACAGTGTAAAAGTGAAATTCTGACCGATGAGAGCGGCTTGTGGGCGTCTGAAGGGGTTTCTGCTCCTCATCACGTCTTTAATGCGCTCCACCTCCTGCTGGTAGCGCCGCCGGTCCTTCATGGCTCCTTCTTTAGCTTCTCTCAGCGCCTCCTCGAGGGCACGAACCCGTTCAGCCGTAGAGCGAAGACGCTTCTCTAGTTTGGGCAGCTCACAGCGCAGATCTGCATTATCACGGACCAGCTGACAAACAAAAAACACATCTCTCATAAAAAAGTGCCACGCACATAATAAAATATCAATATTATTCATCCAGGAAGTTAGAGTGCACCTTCACATTAGCATCACAGAAGTAAAGATACTGAGTAAAACAAACTGCTTTAAAATAAGTGCCGAAGCATGCTAATGGGACTTGCCAGTAACCTGGGTTAAGAGCTTCCAGTGAACTGTATGGCAATGCAAAAACCGGCCCGTTTAAGGTCAGTCTTCTTTAAAAATCAGCGATCTCCACTGGCTGAGTGATATCCGATATAAAGTGGGTCTCAGATTGTACAAGAAGCACTGCATTAAATTACATTTTTCCCACCATGTCTTTATAATATGAGCATTTACTTGACCTCAGTATATTCAGTGGAGCTTCTGCGCTTGACTGCCGATTCTGATGAGTGCGTGCGAGTAAACGGCTTTTTGTCTCGTTTTACGCTGGAGCAACTAAATGAATGCCAAAGTTTATATAAATGAATGTATTTTAATGACATTACAACTTCTATGCTGTAAAATAAACCATATAAAATGGAAAAAAAGTTCACAATAACAGGTCACCGGAAGTTTATCAGTATGGGAAACACACTAGCTCGAAATTTACCCTATAAACACATGGTAGTGGTATATTATTTTTATTATTAATATGGAGTAATTTAGTATGTCAGCAATTCTCTTGCTAAATGTTTTTTTAATGTGCTATTAACAAGGGAAGACTAATTATTATTATGGCATTTTTTCACCACTAATAATATCAAGTGATAAACCACCAATATATATCAAATGAAATTCAAGAACAAGCTAAAATGACAGAATTTCAAACAAAATCTACTTGAAATTAAATAAAAGAAATAATAATTTGCCAGTTCGAAACAATTCAGCAAGGCAGGCAGCATGTCACATTTCCAAGCACACATGCTGCAGTGCAGGGGTGGCGGATAGTTTGAAAACAGAGTACCGTCACACTGCAGCCTTTTAACTTCTTTTTGTCGACAAACAAAGGCTGAAAAAGAACTTTTGAAGCATACTCATATATACTATACTCCGATTAGAGTATCTTCAGCAGCTGACTAACTGGCCGTAAGAGAATTTCTGTTGTTCTGACCTGTTTGTGGACTTTCGTCAGCTGATCCAGGTTGTTCTCCAGAAAGGAGATCTTCTGTTTCTGTGTTGAACATCCACTGCTGTCGTCTGGATCCAGCTCCGAGCTCTGAAATACACGTGAATAAGACCACAGGACTGTAAGTGCACTTACAATATCCTTACAGCATTTCTCATAACTGAGGGCAGTCTTTAAGAACTGATAGGAGTCTTTCAGATTAGATGTCAGTCTTTAGGATCGGAAGTCAGTCTTTATGAATTGATATGAGTCTTTAAGATTAGATGGTCATCTATACGGTGACATGTCAGTCTTTAAGTATCAATATGAGTTTTTATGTAGTGTTTAACTATGGGTCTGTAAGATCAGATGTCAGTCTTTAGGTGTCGACACAAATCTTTATCGCATCCTTAAGATTAGATTACCATCTACATGATTACATGTCAGTCTTTAAGTATCAATATGAGTTTTTATTTTTTTTTTAAATAAGGACTCAAGTCTTTTCGTTTAGATGTCTTCTTTTTCTTTCAGTCTTGGAGAACCTATATGAGTCTTTAAGATCAAATGTCAGTCTTTATGGACAGATGTTAGTCTTTAAGAATCTATTTTAGTCTATATAAGTCTTTGAGAACATATATAAGTCCTTAAGATCAGATGTTAGTCTTTATGAGCAGATGTCAGTTTTTAAGAATTCATTTGAGTCTTTATGAGTCTTTCTGAACATATATCAGTCTTTAAGATCAAATTCTGTTTTTAAGATACTGATATGTAGATCTGATCTGAGTCTTTATGAGTCTTTAGTAACAGATATGAATCTTTTACGATATACATGAGTCTTTATGAGTTTTTAATAACAGATGCAAGTCTTTTAGAACAGACATGAGTCTTTGAGTCTTTATAAGTTTTTAATAACAGATGCAAGTCTTTTAGAACAGACATGAGTCTTTATGAGTCTTTAGGATCAGATGTCAGTCTTTATTATAAGATTTCAGTCTTTAAGATCAAATGTCTGTCTTTACGAATCTACTTGAGTCTATATAAGTCTTTAAGAACTTATACAAGTCTTTACGATCAAATGTCAGTCTTAAAGACCAGATGTCAGTCTTTAAGAAGATATTTGAGTCCTTATGAGTATTTAAGAACATATATCAGTCTTTAAGATCAAATTCTGTTTTTAAGATACTGATATGTAGATCTGATCTGAGTCTTTATGAGTCTTTAGTAACAGATATGAATCTTTTACGATAGACATGAGTCTTTATGAGTTTTTAATAACAGATGCAAGTCTTTTAGAACAGACATGAGTCTTTATGAGATTTTAGGATCAGATGTCAGTCTTTAGGATCGGATGTCAGTCTTTAAGAGTTCATTCAAGTCTGTATGAGTCTTTCTGAACATATATCAGTCTTTAAGATCAGATTCTGTTTTTAAGATACTGATATGAGTCATGCAGATCTGATCTGAGTCTTTAATAACAGATATGAGTCTTTTACAACAGACATGAGTCTTTGAGTCTTTATGAGTTTTTAATAATAGATGCAAGTCTTTTAGAACAGACATGAGTCTTCATGAGTCTTTAGGATCAGATGTCAGTCTTTATTATAAGATTTCAGTCTTTAAGATCAAATGTCTGTCTTTACGAATCTACTTGAGTCTATATAAGTCTTTAAGAACTTATACAAGTCTTTACGATCAAATGTCAGTCTTAAAGACCAGATGTCAGTCTTTAAGAAGATATTTGAGTCCTTATGAGTATTTAAGAACATATATCAGTCTTTAAGATCAAATTCTGTTTTTAAGATACTGATATGTAGATCTGATCTGAGTCTTTATGAGTCTTTAGTAACAGATATAAATCTTTTACAATAGACATGAGTCTTTATGAGTTTTTAATAACAGATGCAAGTCTTTTAGAACAGACATGAGTCTTTGAGTCTTTATAAGCTTTTTATAACAGATGCAAGTCTTTTAGAACAGACATGAGTCTTTATGAGTCTTTAGGATCAGATGTCAGTCTTTATTATAAGATTTCAGTCTTTAAGATCAAATGTCTGTCTTTACGAATCTACTTGAGTCTATATAAGTCTTTAAGAACTTATACAAGTCTTTACGATCAAATGTCAGTCTTAAAGACCAGATGTCAGTCTTTAAGAAGATATTTGAGTCCTTATGAGTATTTAAGAACATATATCAGTCTTTAAGATCAAATTCTGTTTTTAAGATACTGATATGTAGATCTGATCTGAGTCTTTATGAGTCTTTAGTAACAGATATGAATCTTTTACGATAGACATGAGTCTTTATGAGTTTTTAATAACAGATGCAAGTCTTTTAGAACAGACATGAGTCTTTATGAGATTTTAGGATCAGATGTCAGTCTTTAGGATCGGATGTCAGTCTTTAAGAGTTCATTCAAGTCTGTATGAGTCTTTCTGAACATATATCAGTCTTTAAGATCAGATTCTGTTTTTAAGATACTGATATGAGTCATGCAGATCTGATCTGAGTCTTTAATAACAGATATGAGTCTTTTACAACAGACATGAGTCTTTGAGTCTTTATGAGTTTTTAATAATAGATGCAAGTCTTTTAGAACAGACATGAGTCTTCATGAGTCTTTATGATCAGATGTCAGTCTTTATTATAAGATTTCAGTCTTTAAGATCAAATGTCAGTCTTTACGAATCTACTTGAGTCTATATAAGTCTTTAAGAACTTATACAAGTCTTTACGATCAAATGTCAGTCTTAAAGACCAGATGTCAGTCTTTAAGAAAATATTTGAGTCCTTATGAGTATTTAAGAACATATATCAGTCTTTAAGATCAGATTCTGTCTTTAAGAACTGATATGAGTTTTGTAGATCTGATCTGAGTCTTTAATAACAGATGTCATTCTTTAAGATAAGATATCAGTCTTGAAGAATCTGTTTGAGTCTATATAAGTCTTTAAGATCCTAAATGAGTTTTTAAGATCAGATTCTGTCTATCATAGCTGTTATGAGTGTTTCTGAACAGACATGAATCTTAATAAGTCTTTAACAACAGATGTGAGTCTTTTACAACAGACATGAGTCTTTATGACTCTTTAAGATCAGATGTCAGTCTTTAAGAACTGATATGAGTTTTGTAGATCTGATCTGAGTCTTTCTGAGTCTTTAATAACAGATGTCATTCTTTAAGAATTGATTTGAGTCTTTAAGAACAAATATCAGACTTTAAGATCAGATTCTGTCTTTAAGAACAGATGTGAGTCTTTATGAGTCTTTAGGATCAGATGTCAGTCTTATAAGATTTCAGTCTTTACGAATCTACTTGAGTCTATATAAGTCTTTAAGAACTTATACAAGTCAGTCTTAAAGACCAGATGTCAGTCTTTAAGAAAATATTTAAGTCCTTATGAGTATTTAAGAACATATATCAGTCTTTAAGATCAGATTCTGTCTTTAAGAACTGATATGAGTTTTGTAGATCTGATCTAAGTCTTTAATAACAGATGTGAGTCTTTTACAACAGACATGAGTCTTTATGACTCTTTAAGATCAGATGTCAGTCTTTAAGAACTGATATGAGTTTTGTAGATCTGATCTGAGTCTTTCTGAGTCTTTAATAACAGATGTCATTCTTTAAGAATTGATTTGAGTCTTTAAGAACAAATATCAGACTTTAAGATCAGATTCTGTCTTTACGAACAGATGTGAGGCTTTATGAGTCTTTAAGAATAGATATGTTCTTTAAGATCTTATTTGAGTGTTTGAAGTGTGTTAAACGTACCCGTTTGACTCGGGCTGTGAGGTCTTGAACGAACAGCTTCCTCAGATTGTGGAGGGTCTGGAGTTCACGTGCCTTTAAAGAGAAATGTGCAGGTCTGTCATAAACACCGTTATTATTATCATTACTGATATCATACTTTCTATAGGCACTCACGACGGTCTCTTCCAAACCCTTCATGTCCTGCCGGGTCTGTTCCTGCCGCTCATGAAGATACCTGTACAAACAGACAAGCATGATGGCATTTACTGCTGTCAGGTATATATTTTTATTAGATCGTTTAATACTTTCATTTAATACTAGATCATTTATTAGCTTAGTTTTATTTTATTTTTTGGTTAATAAATAACTTATCCATTCCCCTATTTCATACAAAATCAAAATGTTCAAAATCTGTTTCAGTTTCTAGCATTTAAAATATAAAATATATAGTCATAAAATAAAATGTAAACAATTATTATTCATTCATTCATTTACCTTCGGCTTAGTCCCTTTATTAATCAGGAGCCGCCACAGCGGAATGAACTGCCAACTTATCCACCATATGTTTAATAACCCTTCCTGCTGCAACCCATCACTGGGAAACACCCATACGCTACTGACAGTTTAGCTTACCCAATTCACCTATACCACAGGTCTTTTGAATTGTGGGGGAAACCGGAGCACCAGGAGAAAACCCACGTCAACACAGGGAGAACATGCAAACTCCACACAGAAATGGCAACTGACCCAGCCGGGACTCGAACCAGCGGCCTTCTTGCTGTGAGGCCACAGTGCTAACCACTGAGCCACGTGATTCAGTAAGTACATATAATTAAATTAAATATATGAACATTCTGAACGGTTAAAGAAACTGTCAATAATTTAATATGGCTTTTAGCAGCATCTATAATTAAATTAACTTATCTATAATTTATACACAACTAGTTCCTCCAGTGCAGACACACATTATCCTAAATCTGAACCATCAAATAAAACCCTTGTTCTGCCATCTAGTGGTTCACAGCATGTTTACACCGGTGTGTTATTCACAGTGTGTGTGCTTGCTTCGCGTGTACAGTGAACTGACCTGAGCTCCTCCAGCTGTCGGCTTTTCTCATGTTCCCGACTCTTCAGGACGCTGAACTCAACACTCAGCTGCTCCAGCTGAAGATCCAGCCTCTGGTTATCACTGCAGACACAAACAGGTCACACAAACTCACAAGGCACAAACACACATGCATACACACACACACATGCGGGGGGTCACAAACAGATGTGGGTCACACATACATACAGACATGCACTGATATGAACATGCACGGAACACACACTCATACAATCAAACCTAAACACAGACATGACACAGGGACACACAGATACACATTTACTATCAAACTCGCGTGCATGTCATGACACATGCACGCACACACACACACACACTGACTCGGTGAGCTCATCGATGATCTTCTGCTTGTGGTTGATGTCGTCTCTCAGTCTGCCGAGCTGTTTGTGCTGTGGCTCTCGCTGAACCTCTGACTTCTGATCCACAGCCTTATGACTCTGAACAGGAGATTCAGGACAGCGGAATAAACCATAAACATTTGGAGTTTACATGTATTTATAATGTTCTGAGTCCACTGATCCACAAACAGTATCGCAAAATCTTCCCACCTTCACATTTACAGACTCATCAGTGTCCAGCGGACGATCCAGAATGCTCTCTGCAAACACACACACACACGAGCTTATTAGAAGATACATTCGCCGGCCACTTTATTAGGTACACCTTACTAGTACCGGGTTGGACCCATTTTGCCATCAGAACGAGCAGCTGGACAGGTGTACCTAATAGAGTGGTGGCGATGTATAATATTAATATAAACATTCTGAAATCTTAAAAGTATTTTATAATAATTATATAAAGCTTTCAGTAGGCCCTAGTTTCTATTTTTAAGGACATGGGCAACACATACTAGCCACTAATTCTCCACAATATAAAGCAGATGTGTGCGTGTGGGTGTGTGTGTGTGTGTTTTGTACCGGTGTTCTGTAGTTTAGCCAGTTCTTCACTCAGACAGTCATAGTTTTCCTCCAGCTGACGTTTCTTCAGTTCCATGTTCTGCATGTACTCAGTCAGAGAGCGGATCTTCGCTTCGTGCTGGAACACACACACACACACACACACAGATTTCAGCATCTAGGTTGTCTGTGTGTGTGTGTGTGTGTGTGTGTGTGTGTGTGTGTGTGTGTCTGTGTGTGTGTCTGTGTGTGTCTGTGTGTGTGTGTGACCTGTGAGATGAGCAGCTGACAGGAGGACAGTTCTCTGCCGGTCTCCTCCATCTTTCGGTGACAGTCGGTCTGTAGACTCTCCAGTTGTCTGCATCTCTTCACCAGCGTCTTCAGCTCAGACTTCACTTTACTCATGTACACACACACCACTGCGTACTCCTCCTCCAGCACACCGGACAGCTCACTTGGCTGAACGCACACAAAACACACAAAACACACACGCACATTAACACACATGTACACATGCATTAAATAAAATAACTCTAGTATGGCGGGAAACTTTAAATAAAAATAACTCAAATGTGGCGGGAAAGTTTAAATAAAAACAACTGAAAAATGGCAGAAAAATCCAAATAAAAATAACTCAAATGTGGCGTAAAAGTTTAAATAAAAATAACTCAAATGTGACGGGAAAGATTAAATAAAAATAACTCAAATGTGGCGGGATAGTTTAAATAAAAATAACTCAAATGTGATGGGAAAGATTAAACAAAAATAACTCAAATGTGGCGGGAAATTCAAATAAAAATAACGCAAATGTGGCGGGAAAGTTTAAATAAAAACAACTGAAAAATGGCAGGAAAATCCAAATAAAAATAACTCAAATGTGGCGGGAAAGTATTAATAAAAATCAATCAAATGTGGTGGGACAGTTTAAATAAAAATCACTCAAATGTGACGGGAAAGATTAAATAAAAACAACTGAAAAATGGCAGGAAAATCCAAATAAAAATAACTCAAATGTGGCGGGAAAGTTTAAATAAAAATAACTCAAATTTGGCGGGAAAGTTCAAATAAAAATAACTCAAATGTGGCGGGAAAGTTTAAATAAAAATAACTGAAAAATGGCAGGAAAGTATACATAAAAATAACTCAAATGTGGCAGGAAAGATTAAATAAAAATATTTCAAATTTGGCGAGAAAGTTTAAATAAAAATAACAGAAAAATGGCAGGAAAGTATAAATAAAAACAACTCAAATGTGGCGGGAAAGTTTAAATAAAAATAACTGAAAAATGGCAGGAAAGTATAAATAAAAATAACTCAAACGTGGCGGGAAAGTTTAAATAAAAATAACTGAAAAATGGCAGGAAAGTATAAATAAAAATAACTCAAATGTGGCAGGAAAGATTAAATAAAAATATTTCAAATTTGGCGAGAAAGTTTAAATAAAAATAACAGAAAAATGGCAGGAAAGTATAAATAAAAACAACTCAAATGTGGCGGGAAAGTTTAAATAAAAATAACTGAAAAATGGCAGGAAAATCCAAATAAAAATAACTCAAACGTGGCGGGAAAGTTTAAATAAAAATAACTCAAATGTGACGGGAAAGTATTAATAAAAATCAATCAAATGTGGTGGGACAGTTTAAATAAAAATCACTCAAATGTGACGGGAAAGATTAAATAAAAACAACTGAAAAATGGCAGGAACATCCAAATAAAAATAACTCAAATGTGGCGGGAAAGTTTAAATAAAAATAACTCAAATTTGGCGGGAAAGTTCTAATAAAAAAAACTCAAATGTCGTGGGAAAGTTTAAATAAAAATAACTCAAATTTGGCGGGAAAGTTCTTATAAAAAAAACTCAAATGTGGCGGGAAAGTTTAAATAAAAATAACTGAAAAATGGCAGGAAAATCCAAATAAAAATAACTCAAATGTGGCGGGAAAGTTTAAATAAAAATAACTGAAAAATGGCAGGAAAATCCAAATAAAAATAACTCAAACGTGGCGGGAAAGTTTAAATAAAAATAACTCAAATGTGACGGGAAAGTATTAATAAAAATCAATCAAATGTGGTGGGACAGTTTAAATAAAAATCACTCAAATGTGACGGGAAAGATTAAATAAAAACAACTGAAAAATGGCAGGAACATCCAAATAAAAATAACTCAAATGTGGCGGGAAAGTTTAAATAAAAATAACTCAAATTTGGCGGGAAAGTTCTAATAAAAAAAACTCAAATGTCGTGGGAAAGTTTAAATAAAAATAACTCAAATTTGGCGGGAAAGTTCTTATAAAAAAAACTCAAATGTGGCGGGAAAGTTTAAATAAAAATAACTGAAAAATGGCAGGAAAGTATGAATAAAAATAACTCAAATGTGGCAGGAAAGATTAAATAAAAATATTTCAAATTTGGCGGGAAAGTTTAAATAAAAATAACTGAAAAATGGCAGGAAAGTATAAATAAAAACAACTCAAATGTGGCGGGAAAGTTTAAATAAAAATAACTGAAAAATGGCAGGAAAGTATACATAAAAATAACTCAAATGTGGCGGGAAAGTTTAAATAAAAATAACTGAAAAATGGCAGGAAAGTATACATAAAAAGAACTCAAATGTGGCAGGAAAGATTAAATAAAAATATTTCAAATTTGGCGGGAAAGTTTAAATAAAAATAACTGAAAATGGCAGGAAAGTATAAATAAAAACAACTCAAATGTTGTGGGAAAGTTTAAATAAAAATAACTGAAAAATGGCAGGAAAGTATAAATAAAAATAACTCAAATGTGGCGGGAAAGTTTAAATAAAAATAACTGAAAAATGGCAGGAAAGTATAAATAAAAATAACTCAAATGTGGCGGGAAAGATTAAATAAAAATATTTCAAATTTGGCGGGAAAGTTTAAATAAAAATAACTGAAAAATGGCAGGAAAGTATAAATAAAAATAACTCGAATGTGGCGGTAAAGATTAAATAAAAATCACTCAAATGTGGCGGGAAAGTTCAAATTAAATAAATTTAAATGGTGATAAAGTTTAAATAAAATTAACAGAAAAATGGCAGGAAAATTTAAATAAAAGTTTCTCAATCAAGATGGAAAAGTTCAAATAAAAATATCTCAAATATCCTGGGAAAGATCAAATAAATATAAACATGACGCAATAGCATGCACTCTCTTCCAATTTTTCAGTTACAGCCGAAAATACCCGTCTAAATGACGCTGCAGACACACGGATGACGATTCGCTCACCAGTCTGAGGTCTCCGTTGCCCAGGATGAAGCTGAAGTCGTTCAGATCCTTCACCAGTGTGTTCAGCACCTCAGTGATGCGTTTCCTCTGCTGACCGTTCACTTCCTGTAGCCTCGAGAAGTCTGATTCCAGAGACAGGAGAGCCGACTGATGGAGAGATACACATGCACACATTAAACATGCTTGATTAAACATTCACTATTCATTACTAGCAGCTCGATGAAGGCATTTACTGCTAACATCCACATCAGGCCTGCTGTTTATATTGGGCTGCAGATCTGACTTTCACTGGCCGACCTGCTGTTTCAGAACACTGATGCTGCTGCTGGACTGAACTGAAGAAGATCAATACTGTCATTACTGCTTTAGATCTGGAGAAACATGTGTGTGTGTTGTGTGCGTTATGCATGTGTTTGTGTGTGTTATGCACATGTTTGTGTTTGAATGTGTTATGCATGTGGATTTGGGTGTGTTATGCGTGTGTGTGTGTATGTGTGTTTGTGTTGTGTGTGTTATGCATGTATTTGCGTGTGTTATGCATGTGCATGTGTGTTTGTGTGTATTATGCATATGTGTGTTTGTGTGTATTATGCATATGTGTGTTGTGTGTGTTATGCATGTGTGTGTGTGTGTTATGCATGTGGAGTGTGTGTGTGTGTTAGTTACAGTGGTGTGTGCGAGCTCCTCAGTGAGTCTGCGGTTGTGTCTGCTGTTGTCCTGCGCCTCCAGACTCTTGTGGTCGTAGCTCAGTGCCAGCTCCTCCAGCGCCTGCAGCACCTCCTGCACCTCCAGCTTCGAGCTCTCACTGTCAGCCTGCAGCCGCCGCACATCACACTGCACACGCTCAAGGTCAGCCCGCGCACACGCCAGAAGCTGCACACACACACACACACACACACACACACACACACACACACACACACATTCATATATACATGTACTGTTTGCTGGTAAATCAATGTACACTCACCGGCCACTTTATTAGGTACACCTATCCAGCTGCTCGTTGACACAAATTTCTAATCAGCCAATCACATGGCAGCAACTCACTGCATTTAGGCATGTAGACATGGTAAAGACGATCTGCTTCAGTTCAGAGCATCAGAATGGGGAAGAAAGGGGATTTAAGTGACTTTGAACGTGGCATGGTTGTTGCTGCCAGACGGGCTGCTCTGAGTATTTCAGAAACTGCTGATCTACTGGGATTTTCACGCACAACCATCTCTAGGCTTTACAGAGAATGCTCCGACAAAGAGGAAATATCCAGTGAGCGGCAGTTCTGTGGGCGCAAATGAGGTCAAAGGAGAATGGCCAGACTGGTTCCAGCTGATAGAAAGGCAACAGTAACTCAAATAAGCACTCGTTACAAGCGAGCTCTGCAGAAGAGCATCTCTGAACACACAACACGTCCAACCTTGAGGCGGATGGGCTACAGCAGCAGAAGAGCACACCGGGTGCCGCTCCTGTCAGCTAAGAACAGGAAACTGAGGCTACAATTCACACAGACTCACCAAAACTGGACAATAGAAGATTGGAGAAACGTTGCTGCTCTGATGAGTCTCCATTTCTGCTGACACATTCAGATGCTCGGCTCAGACAACATGAAAGCATGGATCCATCCTGCCTTGTATCAGCGGTTCAGGCTGCTGGTGGTGGTGTAATGGTGTGGGGGAGATTTTCTTTGGGTCCATTAGTACCAATTGAGCATCAACGCCACAGCCTACCTGAGTATTGCTGCTGACCATGTGCATCCCTTTATGAGCACAGTGTCTCCATCTTCTGATGGCTACTTCCAGCAGGATAACGCAGCATGTCATAAAGCTCAATCATCTCAGACTGGTTTCTTGAACATGACGATGAGTTCACTGTACTCAAATGGCCTCCACAGTCACCAGAGCTCAATCCAATAGAGCAGCTTTGGGATGTGGTGGAACGGGAGATTGGCATCATGGATGTGCAGCCGACAAATCTGCAGCAACCGTGTGATGCTATCATGACAATATGGAGCAAAATCTCTGAGGAATATTTCCAGTAGCTTGTTGAATCTCTGCCATGAAGGATTGAGGCAGATCTGAAGGTGAAAGGGGTCCAACACGGTATTAGTAAGGTGTACCTAATAAAGTGGCCGGTGAGTGTATACAGGCTGAATGTATCTGGGTTAGAGTGTTATGTGTGTGTGTATGTCAGTGTTTACCTCTTCTTGATCCAGCATTTGCTCCTTCAGTTTCTCCACCAGCTGACACTGGAGATTAATCTCATCGTCCTGTCAGAGAGGAGACAATCAATACAGAAGTCTGTGTGTGTGTGTGTGTGTGTGTGTGCGTGTGTGTGTGTGTGTGTGTGTGTGTGTGTGTTCGTGTGTGCATGAGTTTTATATGTGTGTGTTAGTGTGTGCAGGGCGACGCGGTGGCACAGTAGGTAGAGCTGTGGGGGCTCACAGCAAGAAGGTCGCTGGTTCGAGCCTCGGCTGGATCAGTTGGTGTTTCTGTGTGGAGTTTGCATGTTCTCCCCGTGTTGGTGTGTGTTTCCTCCGGGTGCTCCGGTTTCCCCCACAGTCCAAACACATGCTCTATACACATGCTATGTGTAATCTGTGTGAGAGTGTGTGCGTGCGTGCGTGTGTGTGTGTGTGAGAGAGAGTGCGTGCGTGTGTGTGTGTGTGTGTGTGTGTGTGCATGAGTTTTTAGGTGTAGATGTGTGTGTGTTTGTGTGTGTGTGTGTGTATGTAGATAAGTTTGTAATTGTGTGTGTGTGTGTGTGTGTGTGTGTGTGTGTGTGTGTGTGTGTGTGTGTGTGTGTGTGTGTGTGCATGTGCATGTGTGCGTGTGCGCGTGTGTGCGTGTGTGCGCGTGTGTGCGTGGTGCTACCTTGTCATCCAGTTGTCTGTAGAGCTGTTGAATCTCCTCCTCATATCTGCTGTTGTGCTGCTCTGGGATCAGTTCAGTTTGGCCGTGGCTCTGATTGTCTACAGCTGTGTCTTCAGTCACATCACACTCAGCAGGAGACACAGGAGTGATCAGAACCACTGATTCACCTACACACACACACACACACACACACACAGTTACCCATATGTGACTGACATTGGTGGATGTTTTATTATGTGTGTATAAGGTGTGTGTGTGTGTGTGTGGCATCACCGTTGCGCCAGTGGTTGAGCTCGGCCTCCAGTCTCTGCATGCTCTCCTTCAGGTCCTTGTTCTTCTCCTTCTCCTTCTCGTATTTCCTCTTCCACTGCTCAGCCGTGAGCTCCAGATTCACTGACGCCGAGTTCATGATGGTCTTCGCTCTGACAATGAAGGAAACGTCAGTGTGTTACTGGTGTATGTCACTGATGTGTGTGTGTGCGAGCATGTGTCACTGATGTGTGTATGTCACAGATGTCTGTGCGCGTGTGTTCGTGTGTGTTTTTGTTTGTAAGTGTATCACTGATGTGTGTTGTGTTGTGTGTATGTGGCACTAATGTGTGTGTGTGTGTGTGTGTGTGTGTCACTGATGTGTGTGTATTTGAATGTGTGTGTGTCTGTGTCTGCTGTTTGTGTCACTGTTGCTTGTATGTGTGTATTTTTGTGTCTCTCTGTGTGTGTGTCACTGATGTGTGTGTGCATGTGTGTTTGTGGTTGTACGAAAGTATGTCACGGTTGTGTGTTTTACCAATTCGTGTGTGTGTGTGTGTGTGTGTGTGTGTGTGTGTGTGTGTGTGTGTGTGTGTGTGTGTGTGTGTGTGTGTGTGTGTGTGTGTGTGTGTGTGTGTGTGTGTGTGTGTGTGTGTGAGTGAGTGAGTGTGTGTGTGTGTCTATGTGTCTGTATGTAAGTGTGTGCCACTAATGTGTGTGTGTCACTGATGTGTGTGTCACGAATGTATGTGTTACCAATATGTGTGTGTCTGTATGTAAGTGTGCATTACTGATGTGTGTGTTTGTGTGAGTCACTGATGTGTGTGTTACCAATGTGTGTGCGTGGGCGAGTGTGTGTGTGTCTGCTGTTTGTTTCACTGTTGTTTATATGTGTGTATTTTTGTTTCTTTCTGTCTGTCTGTCTGTGTGTGTGTGTCACTGGTGTGTGTGTCACTGATGTGTATGTAGTTTACATGTGTCACTGATGTGTCTGTGCATGTGTGTGTGTGGTTGTACGAAAGTGTATGAGTCACTGATGTGTTTGTCACAGATGTGTGTTTTACCAATACATGTGTGTGTGTGTGTGTGTGTGGTTGGTCTGTATGTAAGTGTGTGTCACTGATGTGTGTTTTACCAATGTGTGTGTGTGTGTGTGTGTGTGTGTGTGTGTGTGTGTCTCTGTATGTAAATGTTTGTCACTGCTGTGTGCGTTACTAATGTGTGTGCATGTGTGCATGCGTGTGTGTGTGTGTGCGTGCATGGGCTCATCTGTGTGTGTGTGTGTGTGTGTTTGTGTCTATATGTAAGTGTGTGCCACTAATGTGTGTGTGTCACTGATGTGTGTGTCACGGATGTATGTGTTACCAATATGTGTGTGTCTGTATGTAAGTGTGCATCACTTATGTGTGTGTTTGTGTGAGTCACTGATGTGTGTGTTACCAATGTGTGTGCGTGGGCGAGTGTGTGTGTGTCTGCTGTTTGTTTCACTGTTGTTTATATGTGTGTATTTTTGTTTCTTTCTGTCTCTGTCTGTGTGTGTGTGTCACTGGTGTGTGTGTCACTGATGTGTATGTAGTTTACATGTGTCACTGATGTGTCTGTGCATGTGTGTGTGTGGTTGTACGAAAGTGTGTGCATCACTGATGTGTTTGTCACAGATGTGTGTTTTACCAATACATGTGTGTGTGTGTCTGTCTTTATGTAAGTGTGTGTCACTGATGTGTGTTTTACCAATGTGTGTGTGTGTGTGTGTCTCTGTATGTAAATGTTTGTCACTGCTGTGTGCGTTACTAATGTGTGTGCATGTGTGCATGCGTGTGTGTGTGTGCGTGCATGGGCTCATCTGTGTGTGTGTGTGTGTGTGTGTCTATATGTAAGTGTGTGACACTAATGTGTGTGTGTTTGTGTGTGTGTCACTGATGTGTGTGATACCAATGTGAGTGTGCGTGTGTGTTTGTTTGTGTGTGTGTGTGTGTATGCGTGTGTGTGTGTGTGTGTGTGTGTGTGTGTGTGTGTGTGTGTGTGTGTGTGTGTGTGTGTGTGTGTGTGTGTGTGTGTGTGTGTGTGTGTGTGTGTGTGTGTTTGTATGTGTGTGTATGCGTGTGTGTGTGTGTGTGTGCGTGTGTGTGTGTGTGTGTGTGTGTGTGTGTGTGTGTGTGTGTGTGTCTATGTGTCTGTCTGTGTGCCACTAATGTATGTTTGTGTGTGTCACTGATGTATGTGTTACCAATGTGTGTGTGTGTCACTGATGTCTGTGTTTGTGTGAGTCACTGATGTGTGTGTTACCAATGTGTATGCTTGTGTGCATGCATGTATGTGTGCGTGCATGGGCTTGTGTATGTGTGTGTGTGTGTGTGTGTCTTTTTGTCTGTATGTAAGTGTGTGCCACTAATGTGTGTGTGTCTGTGTGTGTCACTGATGCTTGTGTTACCAATGTGTGTGTGTGGGCTCACGTGTGTGTGCGTGTGTGAATGTGTGTGTGTGTGTGTTACCGTTGTCCAAACATCAGTGTGGATTTGGTCTCAGCATCGTTGTAGGCTGAGGGTGAGCAGCAGATGAACATGGTGGTCCTGCAGTTTCCACCCAGAGAGTCTTGCAGGATCCTCGTCATCTTACTGTCACGGTACGGCACGTGAGTCTTCTGCACACACACACACACACACACACATTTGCAGAATATATCTATATAGTATAAAGTGCTATAGGAATAGAGATGAATCGAATTGAAAGCATGCACACACACACACACACACAAACACACAGAAGTGAAAAGTGTCACTCACGGTTCCTTCAGCCAGAGCTGAGATGACGTTTCCCAGAGCAGACAGACTCTTGTTGATGTTTTTGGCTTCATCCAGAACGGCTCCTTCAGCCCCTGTTTTACTCACCTGCCACACACACAGATTCATGCTGACATGACTGCTCACACACACACACACACATAAACCTCAGTCAGACTGTCCAAAAGAGGCTAACAACTGAATCCTGAGGACAGCAGAATTGATCAGTGCATTCAGCTCTGTTTATGATTAAAGAATCAAAACATGCACCTTAACTTTGACCTTAAATAGCTCTTTTGCACAATATTGTTCTGTCTTATCTAAAATAAGGTGTTTTAGGTGACTAATCTATGTATATGCACAAATACACTCACCGGCCACTTTATTAGGTACACCTTACTAGCACCAGGTTGGACCCCTTTCGCCTTCAGAACTGCCTCAATCCTTCATGGCAGAGATTCAACAAGCTACTGGAAATATTCCTCAGAGGTTTTGCTCCATATTGTCATGATAGCATCACACAGTTGCTGCAGATTTGTCGGCTGCACATCCATGATGCCAATCTCCCGTTCCACCACATCCCAAAGCTGCTCTATTGGATTGAGCTCTGGTGACTGTGGAGGCCATTTGAGTACAGTGAACTCATCGTCATGTTCAAGAAAGCAGTCTGAGATGATTGAGCTTTATGACATGCTGCGTTATCCTGCTGGAAGTAGCCATCAGAAGATGGAGACACTGTGCTCATAAAGGGATGGACATGGTCAGCAGCAATACTCAGGTAGGCTGTGGCATTGATGCTCAATTGGCACTAATGGACCCAAAGAAAATCTCCCCCACACCATTACACCACCACCACCAGCCTGAACCGCTGATACAAGGCAGGATGGATCCATGCTTTCATGTTGTCTGAGCCGAGCATCTGAATGTGTCAGCAGAAATGGAGACTCATCAGAGCAGCAACGTTTCTCCAATCTTCTATTGTCCAGTTTTGGTGAGTCTGTGTGAATTGTAGCCTCAGTTTCCTGTTCTTAGCTGACAGGAGCGGCACCCGGTGTGCTCTTCTGCTGCTGTAGCCCATCCGCCTCAAGGTTGGCCGTGTTGTGTGTTCAGAGATGCTCTTCTGCAGAGCTCGGTTGTAACGAGTGCTTATTTGAGTTACTGTTGCCTTTCTATCAGCTGGAACCAGTCTGGCCATTCTCAGTCTGGCGCCCACAGAACTGCCGCTCACTGCATATTTCCTCTATGTCGGAGCATTCTCTGTAAAGCCTAGAGATGGTTGTGCGTGAAAATCCCAGTAGATCAGCAGTTTCTGAAATACTCAGAGCAGCCCGTCTGGCAGCAACAACCATGCCACGTTCAAAGTCACTTAAATCCCCTTTTTTCCTTATTTTGATGCTCTGACTTGAAGCAGATCATCTTTACCATGTCTACATGCCTAAATGCAGTGAGTTGCTGCAGTGTGATTGGCTGATTAGAAATTTGCATTAACAAGCAGTTTGACAGGTGTACCTAATAAAGTGGCCAAGGGAGTATTTTACCGTAAACCTTCCTGTGGAGAATTTGAATGTAAAAGACTGATCTGTGAGGGGTGTACTCATCTATGATCAGCACTGGATCATTTGCAGTAATTAATTTTATGTTCACCTGAAGACAATAGTGTGCGCTAGCGAAATAAACACTGTACATTTGATGTTACGCAGACTGTAATGAGACGATGGGATTTGTGATTGTTGTTTCCTACAGATGGATGCAGTGTTGTGTGTGTGTGTGTGTGTGTGTGTGTGTGTGTGTGTGTGTGTGTGTGTGTGTGTGTGTGTGATGAAAACACAAACACACTGAATGACCTTCTCGCTGCCGGCCAGATCCACCAGGTAGAGTTTTCCACAGAGTTTCTGCTCGGTCTCCACATGCTCCTGCTTAATGTTGATCAGGAATATACTGTGACTCCTGGAGCTGTGCTCGTTCATATCTGACACACACAAACACACACACAAACACACATACACAAACACAGGGATTTCAATGGTAAAAATGCTTCTACACTGAAAAAATATCCATAAATGGGCAGTTTTCCATATTTTAGATTCATGTTTATATTTTTCCTTGATTATTTCTGCTTTTGAATTGCATTATGGGATCTTGATCTTTCTTCCAGCAACTTTTAACCTTGAAAAGTTGTAAAAAGTGACTTTTATGAGCAGTTTGCGGTGCTATATTGTCTGGGATGGTGTTGTAAATTATGGGACATTATGTAATGAGTATTATATCTAGCATTTGTTCATGTTTGGTTAGAGATACTAACTTGTAACAGCGACGTGCCGATTGGCTTTTCCTTCATCAATAAGATCCATCACTTCTTCAGGACTGGAGACAAAACGTTCAGTGCAACCCTGTTAAACACACACACACACACACACACACACACACACATTTACATTACTGTGACACAGTTTGGGATCACAATTACACACATACACACACACAAACAATGGGATGTCACAATTACACACACACACACACACACACTTGTTTGTTTTTGTGAAAAGTGGGGACATTACATAGGTTTCCCTTCATTTTATACTGTCCAAACGGTATATTATATTGCCCTCACCCCTAAACCCAACCATCACAGCAGACTGTGTGCAGCTTTACTCTGATTAAACTCATCCTGTGGCATTTATAAGCATTTTGAGAAATGAGGACGTCACCAATGTCCTCATATTTCACCTGCTTTTTGTAATACCTGTGTCATACCCATGTCATTATACAGATTTGTGTCCTGATATGTCACAAAAACACGTACACACACACACGTATAATAAAATAATACAGAATAAAGTCGCATCTTAATTTAAATATTGTAGGTGTTTCCTGAGATCACTGTTTTCTTTTCGCACTGAATCTCTTCAGTGAATGCCAGCAGACACAAGAGACATGATGGCATGAGTTTAAAGGAGACTTATTGTGCAAAAATCAATTGATAAAGGATTTAAACACAGCAGCAGTGTGTGAGTATCTCCAGCCTCTAATGGTCAAAATTAATGAATTAGAAACAGTCTGCAGAAACACTTTGATTGACATTCTCCATTTGTACGTGTCATCAGAGGGGGGAAAGCCCCGCCCACTAGTGCCCATCCCTCCCTCATTAGCATAAACAGCAGCCCTGAGTGAGAAGCAGCCGTCTGTCCATTAGCCATGAGAGTGAGCTGCTGAAGATAATGTCAGCATAGACTTAGGCCCAGTTTACAATAATGCGTTTTAGTTTAATAACGCATAAGTTTTGCTATGGTTACGCCATCCGTCCACACTACACCAGTTTTTGAGCGCCGAAAACGGAGTGTTTTGGAAACGCTCAAGAGGCCGTTTTCTTTCTATAACGCTGCTGCTTCATCTCAGTGTGGATGAGGAAAAGTGGAGACATCTGAAAATGGAGGCGAGGCTGCTGAAATTCGCTACCTGATTGGAGCTTTTGTGTCATTGCGTACCCTTCCCTTACGCCCCATTCACACGTGGCGTCAGCGTCAACGCTTCCCATTCACTTTGAATGGGTGACGTCAGGCATTGCCGAAATGCATTGTAGATCCGTCCGCGCCGCTTTAGAGGCGTTGCTCGCTGCAGAAGTTGGGACTAGCTGAACTTTTCAAGCGCCGACAAAAGTGTCAGCCAATCAGATCGCTGTATGCAAATACACCAGCTCAGACAGTGGCCTATTGCTGACTAAATTTCATTGGCTGATGCTGCTATGACGATCGCTTCAGCCCCAACTTCAGACACGCCTTCAGTCAAATGTTGACGCTGAACTCCATGTGAATGGGGCCTTATTCGTCAAGCCCCTATCACATGACTATAACACAACGCTACCGGAAAACAGCAGACCAGCCTTCACTGTAAACAACAACATGGACACAGAAATGGGAGCGTTGTTTGCTCTATTGTCCGTTTAAGGCGTCATTGTGCAGTTAAACTCTGCCTTTTTTTACTACAGCAGCTGCATATATGAAATTTGCTGGCAGCTTGCTCTCCGCAGCTCTCACATGGTCGCCCACTGAAGCTAAGCAGGGCTGCGCCTGGTCAGTACCTAGATGGGAGGACACATGGGAAAACTAGGTTGCTGTTGGAAGTGGTGTTAGTGAGGCCAGCAGGGGGCGCCCAACCTGCGGTCTGTGTGGGTCCTAATGCCCCAGTATAGTGACGGGGACGCTATACTGCTCAGTGAGCACCGTCTTTCGGATGAGACGTTAAACCGAGGTCCCGACTCTCTGTGGTCGTTAAAAATTCCAGGATGTCCTTCGAAAAAGAGTTGGGGTTTAACCCCGGCATCCTGGCCAAATCTGCCCACTGGCCTCTGTCCATCATAGCCTCTTAATCATCCCCATATAATAATTGGCTTCATCACTGTCTCCTCTCCACCAATCAGCTGGTGTGTGGTGTGCGGTCTGGCACAAAATGGCTGCCATCACGTCATCCAGGTGGATGCTGCACAATGGTGGTGGATGAGGAGACCCCCCCCCCCATGTGTAAAGCGCTTTGAGTGCCCAGAAAAGCGCTATATAAATGTAAGGAATTATTATTATTATTATTATTATTATTATTATTTTATTCGCAAGACGCAAGCTTTGTTCGAGCTCTCGCTAATTGTTCGCGTCTGTCCACAAAAAGACCTCCCTTGTTTTCTTTGCCATCGTGTTCGTTGTTCAACCGGCGTCTGTTGACCTACGATAACCAAATGCCGAGTGAGACACATGTTTCCTGTTTATACTAAAATGCCCAGAGTGCGCGAATGATCACGTGATGTACGTTTTTGGTGGCGTAGTGTGGACGGAGATATGTTCAGAAGAGCTAGGTGAAACGCTAGTGTGGACGCGGATCGTTTTTGATCTAAAACGCCGTTTTAAAACGAAAACACACTAGTGTAAACGGGGCCTAAGAGGATTATAGATGTGGAGTTTTAGGGTGCTTTCACACCTGCCTTATTTAGTTGGATTGAATCACACTAGAGTTCGTTTCCCCTGTTGGTGCGGTTCGTTTGGGCAGGTGAGAATGCAGCAATCGTACTCGAGTGCGCACCAAAAGCGGACCAAATAAGCGTACAGAGACCTGCTTGAAGAGGTGGTCTCGGTACGCTTTCAAACGAACCCTGGAGCGATTCGTTTGTGGTGAGAATATGATCCGTACTAAACAGGTCCAACAGCAAAAAGTACTGCGCCTTTTAGACTAATCCAGCTGCCGTAGGCCGATGCGCTGTGCATTATGGGATATGGAGGAAAAATATTTGTTGGCAGCGCTTTACCAAGAGAGAGAGAGAGAGAGAGAGAGAGAGGGGGAAACATTACCTGATGGATCGTTGGTAATATTTCCGCAAGATGAGCATGTTTCAGTTTAGCTAAATTAATTCACGCCTCCTCCTGAAGTGACGAGTGATGTATTAAACACTGTTTTCCAGCCGCGCTTCATTTTCGTAATGTATAGTTTGTCTAAAGCAGGGATACAATCAGCCAGCGCAGTCGTCCCTCCAGAGTAAAAAGTTTTGTTTACCTGCGGGAGTTCACTGGCATTTTCCCGCACGTGAATTCTGACCAATCAATAAGCAGTTTAGGAAATATGTTCAACAACATCTGGCCAATGAGAGATGTGGATTTTGTCACATGACTGCATTTTGGTTTGTTTCAACTGGTTCGGACCAAAACCAGAGTGTGGTGTGAAAACGACCCAAAGACGGCAGAAAATGCAACAATGTATCATTTATTGCGCTTGGTGCGGACCAAATGAAGCGAACTACAGATGTGAACGCACCCTCAGATGAAGCACAAATGAACAGCGACAGGAGTCTCCATAGACTGACACAAGCATGAAGCACACACTGACCAACGACAACATGCACACCTGACCAGTACTCAGGGGCGGACTGGCCATCTGGCGGACCGGGCACTTCCCGGTGGGCCGACGTACTTTTTGGGCCGGGCTGATCATTGTCTTATGATCTGATCGGCCCATAAAAGGCTTAGCAGCCTATCATTTTTTTCTGCCTTATTAATTGACGCTGCTGTGATCTTTGTGACTCTCTGAAAGTAGATGCTTTTTTCCCGGACAGACAGACCGGGCCGGCCCATGTGACACTCTGCAGCCCATTGGCTCTTTTCGGTTATGACATTGGGCTGGCCCAATCACAAACTCCTATTTTAGACTCTGTGTGAGCGTGCGTCGTCTGTGTGCATTTGTCAAAATAGTCGAGAGTCAGAGAGAAGAAACGCAAGGGAGGCGCAGAGAAATCGCGGGAAATACACCGGGGTTTCATTTAGCGGTTCTGAATTGTTCTCTGTTCATTCTAGCACACGGCTAAAAACGCAAATCACGTGACCACACACTCTCTGCCTAGAGTTGCAGCTCAGTTCAGCGGGTGAGCATAAACCCCAGGTGAGAGTATAGTGCATGTCAGACAGTTCATCTGCTGGATGATCTCATCTCACTATAGTTGTTAAACGTGATATTGAATTCATCTTGTTGTCTCTATCTAACAATTCTTATGTCTTTTGAATCACTTGTTCTCAGTTAACTGTTTTGGCTGAGTGCAAAGATAAGCTTATATATTAATTTATGTAACCACATACACTGATTCTGCACATTGACTGATTGCTTACCTTTATCGTTTAAATTTAATGTACATATACTGTTATAATGGCCATTATTGATTATTAAAACTGATATTCTGCAAAAGAGACGGGGTAAAGTTCATTCTTTTCAGTGGAAATGAAAGGAGACAGTTATATTTAAGCCCTGTTTTGTTATAAATATGCAGAGTGGAGATGACGCTCATATAAATATGCATCTACACGAGGCTGTTTGGTGTCTGTTAATCATAATATCAAAATGAAACAAATTTGACTTGTATTATGTTTTCATTGTTTAGATGGTGAAACAGCAAGCAGGATGAGGTGAATTAGGTTATAAAGTACACTGTTCCCTTTAAAGATTTACCCATGCATCAGCAGGCAGTTTTTGTTATGTTTATTATTGAATATAGGCTGAGTGAATAGTGTTTTGAATAAGCTAAATTGGCTGTAGTGTATGAGTGTGTGTGAATGAGTGTGTATGGGTGATTTCCAATATTGGGTTGTGGCTGGAAAGGCATCTGCTGCATAAAACATGCTGGAATAGTTGGCAGTTCATTCCACTGCGGCAACTTCTGATAAATAAGGGACTTATGCGAAGAAAAATAAATGAATGAATAGTGTATTTTTTAGAACTCAACAAATATCTTTATGGGCAGTATACAGAAATTAAATTGAGATTAAAGTTTGTATTTATTTATTTCATGTATATATGGCTTGTGTGTTTTATAGAATATGAGTTGATACAAATATTGGACGCGCATAGATAGATAGCATTTTGATTGAATTTAGTGGGCCGCTCTTGCCCAAAATGCCAGGGCTGATTTTTTGCCCCAGTCCAGCCCTGCCAGTACTGAGAAGACTAGTTCTGTTTCACATCTGTCGCTATGTTGACACTTATGCATTTGTAGCTCCGCCCTCTTCTGAATAGACCACAATCTCTGTTGCATTTAAAGTGACAGTCACCGAAACACCACAATTAGAGTCTACGCCTAAAACAGTCTAACAGCAGTAGGTTTTGAGTTCTGTAAGTTCCTCTGTTTTGTGTGCGGAAGTCATTAATGTCAGAAGCTCTTATTGTTTACAGTCTGAGCCCTATAAACATCAGTGAGGTCAGTGTGATTCAGCTCACCTTCACATAGGGAACACGATTCTTGTCTTCGTGAACTGACAGGTTTGTCTTAGTCACTGCAAAACATGGAGAAGATAATGAGCATGAACGAACACAGAATGATCTGAAGCGTAACCAACATACAGTATAAAGGTTGACTGAAGGATAGTAGACTGTCGTTTTGAAGTAATTTTGCACTGACAAAATGATTTATCAAAGGTAAACTAAGATTACTGCGTTACAAAACAAAAATAATTCAGAATTCCATGGAAAACATCAAAATTTTGAGAGAGGGGTCTGGATGCAGACCTGGTGCAGCGCAATCTGAGCTGCATCCAATGCTTTTTAATGCGCTCACCTAACCCCACCCCTCACAGTGACGTCACTCACTCTATTGAGTGTCTGACATTGCATCGTTGAGTGATGCAATCTCAGCTTGCATCATAAAGGCTGCATCCAGATACTGTTGAATTTTGAGATGTAAACTTTCAATTTCAAGAAAAGAAGTCAAAACAGAAACAGTGCTTACTACTGAGCCACCGTGCCGCCCTCAGAATTAAGTTAAATTGCAAGACTCAGGGCTCTATTTTGACGTTCCATGCGCAAAGTACAAAGCGCAGGGCGCAAACGCTTTCAGGGCGTGTCAGAATCCACTTTTGCTAATATAAGGATGGAAAAATCTGCTTTGCGCCGTGGCACATGATCTAAAAGTGTTGTTTATTTTCTTAATGAGTTATAGGTGTGTTTTGAGAATAAACCAATCAGAGTCTCATCTCCCATTCCCTTTAAGAGCCAGCTGCGTCGCACCATGGTGCATTTGCTATTTACATGACGTAAAGTAAGTGTAAGTGGAAAAACTGAGCATTTCACTAGCAAGAAAACAGTTAAACAGAGCATCTGCAGTGCGAGAATGAGAGATAGATTATTCACTTTCGCTCTCGTGGATCGGGAAATCTTGTACGCACAGACATCAATAAGCCTATAAATAAATCATTTAGTTTGTTAAGCGCAAATATTTGTTTTAAAACTATTTCTAAATTCAGTTCTAATTTCCAGCAAATGAATAAATGAACAATAATAATGAAGTGTGCTCAAAAACCTGAGTTATATCCTAAAACACATGCTGTGCCCCATATGGTCTAAAACCTGACAGGTGGACAAATCTAAGCTTGTTTTAATAAAACAAATATAAATATGGATATAATAAATAATACTGCTAATAATAATAACATTATACAAAAGCAAATTGTTATGAATGAACTGAAAAAGCCTCCCGAGATGAAGAAGGCATGAAGGCAGTGGTGTTTATATTCATGTAGGCTAGAAAATAATATGTTTGGAATATTTTAATCCTTTATATTTATATCCTATATATATTCTTATTATATCCTATATATATCCTTAATATTTTAATTCTTTTTCATATGTAAAGATATTTGCGTATTGCTCTTCATCTTGTGTGTATTAAGCAGTGTGTAAGCGAGGCGCACAACTAACACACTCTGCGCTGGACAATAGACCGGCTTTGTTCTGGTCTACTGAAAAATCTATTGTAGTTTCTAAAAGTAGCAATCCTATTATGATTCCTGGTATTGTTCCGGAAACTATCCATTTACAAATTAATCACTGGCATCCACTGTGTAAAACATGCTATAATAGTTGGCGGTTCATTCCGCTGTGGTAGCCCCTGATGAATAAGGGACTAAGCCAAAGGAGAATTAATTAATAAAAAGATTCTAATTGCAAGACAAACTCTGAATTTTGTAAAAATCTCAGCATTGTGGGATGTGAAATTAGAAAAAAATAGATGCATTGAAAAATGTAAATTTATTTTAACAAAATTAATTAAAATGAGCTTCAACAAAACATTTACAATCTTTCAAGAGTTCACACTTAGCTGTTGATTGGTAATAAAGCTAGTTTGGCATGCTGTCCCAGGAGAGAGCCCTAAGCTTGTAAGATCCTCGAGCCCGGGGTTCCCTCTCGTTTGCAGAGCGAGAGGGGAGTTTGAGCTCAGGTAGATCTCGAGAACTCTTCCCCCCTTCTGCTGCTTAGGGATTGCTACGAGGGTGAGCTGCTGGTGGAACTGACTATGGTGCTGATTTGGTTTAGTCAATTTACTTATGTCTCATGTTTTGGACTGTGGAAGGAAAGCGGAGGACCCGAGAAAAACCCAAGCAAGCACGGGGAGAACATGAACTCCACACAGAAATGCCAAATGGCTGGGTAGAGACCCAAACCAGGGGCATTCTTGCAGTGAGGCCGCAGTGCTAGCCACTGGGCCGTCGTGCTGCCCTTTAGGGGAAAAGAGAGGAGGAGAGGGGGTGGAAGGGGGGATTCCTCAAGATGAAGATGACTAAGGGTAAGATGTTTTGGTTATTTATACTGAGTTATGAATCGTCTGATTGGTGGATCGTACATTAACTTGACTTGGAGCCGACCGTGTTAATCATAAGCATGTTATCCTCTCGAAATTAGTTTATAAATATACTTACCTAAGCATAATGATGATTTTATAATAATATACTACACAAATCCTACAAATCTATTTGCATCTTGCACATTTCAGTGCAGCGTGAACATTCTGCTGAACATATTTTTGGCTGCAAAGAAGGTCAGACGGGATTGGAGTCACACGAGGCCAGTAAATGATGGCAGAATCTTGACTTTTGGCTGAATTATTCCTTTAATGAGCAGATGCACGTCTGCAGAGAGGCTTCAGAGTTCATTATGACAGAGCAGAGATGAACTGATGCTTCCAGACAGACGCGCATCTAATCCGACTAACACACACACACACAGTTCATATGAGCCACGGTGGATATAAATGTGCCTCTCATCAGACTGACACTCACACGCATAAAAAGACACACACACACACAGACATACAAACACACACACACACACAGAAACTTAATATGAGCGGTGACTGATATATATACGTGCCTCTCATCAGACTAACACACACAAACGCAAAAAGAAACACACAAACGTACACAAAGAACACACACACACAAGCAAAAAACACTAACAGAGACAAACAACACATACACACACACACACACAAACTTACACAAGCACATGTACACACAAACATCATATGAGCCCAGGCAGATATGAACAAATCTCTCATTAGACTTGCACACATGCAAAGAAATACACACACACACACAAATACAAATGCACACAAAAATATACACACAAACAAACAGAGACACAAAAACACACATACAAGCACAAACAGACACACACACAAGCACAAATACAGAAACAAACACACAGACACACAAAAGCACACATATACACACACAGACAAAGCGCACACACACATGCACAAACACACATACACACACACAAACACACACACACACACACAAACCCATGCACATAACCCCAGACACACACACAAACACACATACACAAACAAAAACAAGCACATACCCACTCAAATACACACACACACACAAAATCTGGATATAAGCCGGATATGAAAGCACACAAGGACGTCGGTTTGTTGAAATCAGCTGTAAATCAGCTGTAGTGTGTGTGTGTGTGTGTGTGTGTGTGTGTGTGTGTGTGTGTGTGTGTGTGTGTACGTGTTTTTGTGACATATCAGGACACAAATCTGTATAATGACATGGGTATGACACAGGTATTACAAAAAGGAGGTGAAATATGAGGACATTGGTGACGTCCTCATTTCTCAAAATGCGTATAAATCACACTGAATGAGTTTAATCAGAGAGTAAAGCTGCACACAGTCTCCTGTGAGGGTTGGGTTTAGGGGTAGGGTGGGGTGAGGGCAATATAATATACGGTTTGGACAGTATAAAATGAATGGAAACCTATGTAATGTCCCCACTTTTCACAAAAACAAACATGTGTGTGTGTGTGTGTGTGTGTGTGTGTGTGTGTGTGTGTGTGTGTGTGTGTGTGTGACGTCAGTTGCTCAGCTCTCCTGTCCCTCTCCATCTGTCTCTGCAGTCACTTCTTCTCTGTTTCTCTCGTCTGTCCGCAGGTATTTTCCAGATTGCTCAGTGACTCATATGAATACAGATGAGCGCCGGCGTTCCTCCGCAAAACCACACAGATGGACACGTGTGTGTGTGTGTGTGTGTGTGTGGTTAGAAAGCAGAGGTGAACACAAAAATCTCTTATATCTAATGCTCGAAATATACTGCGTACACCTGCTGTCTCAAAATAGCCCAGTTGAGTGTGTTCATCTTAACATATATTTAATACTAATTTTAGTACATTAAGTGCAAAATTAGTGTGTCTTATAAAATAGAGCGCTTTAAGTAAAGTACTAAAAAGTGTACTTAATGTACTTAAAGTTAATTTTAGCACCCTTTTTTCACACTTTAAACATTCTTTAATATTGTACTTTAAACTTTTCTTAAATGTGTTATTAAATGTTTAAAATTAGGGTTCAAGTGTATTTCTAGTTGTAACTAAATATATTTTTAAAATACAGATAATGTATGTTAAACGCACATTTTAGTTCAATTCATGGTGACTCAAAATAGCACAGTTAAGTGCACTTAGATGGTGTGAAGTTCATCTTAACATATATTTAAACTAGGGATGCCACGGTTCTCAATATAATATTGAACTGCACGGTACGACCTCCACAGTTCAATACGCGCTTGTGAATTGTGGTTTTCTCGGTTTTGCATTTAAATAATTTATGTGTGTTTTATATCTCCCTGAGTTGACTGTGTGTGCCTGTAAATCCATGAGCTGAGATGAGGAAACTCCTCCCCGTGAGTAAATATCCAATCACTGTGCTCTAAAGTTAGGGCGCGCTTGACCATCATTCCACACTTCAACATGGCGAGCGGCGGTGAAGTGAGGCAACAGTACGAGAAAGCGCCAGTGTCTTTCAAACCTGCAGTGTGAGGACATTTCGGTTTTGCCGGTAAGTATAATGCCAATAAAAGAAAAAACAGTGAACAAAGAATAACTGTGGGCAAGCATTGATTTACACGCATAACCATGACTGCATAGGCGCACAACTAACAACAATAGACAATAGACCGGCTTTGTTCTGGTAAACTGAAAAATCTATTACAGTTTCTCAAAATAGCAACACGCCAGCAGTGCGCCTCAACACGCCTCCCTTTTTAGAGCAGAACACCTATGGGCGCACATATGAGCGCAATTGCATTTGCTATTTAAACAGCGTGCTGCAAAACGTCAAATTGACTCTTGTGCCAAGCTGAAACTAGCAAACAACAATTGCGTTGCGCCTTGTGCCACATTGCGCCGGGTGTATGATAGGGCCCAAAGTCATAATTCCAAAAAAATATTGGGATTACAGGACCCAGAATTCTAAGAAAAAAATAAAATTTACTTAAAATTCCCCCAAAGAAATTTGACTATGGAATTGAGAGATCTACGCTCAGAATTTCAAGTTGTGAGCATGCAATCCCAGAATTCCAAGTCAAGAAAAAATAAGGGAATTACGAGACGTAAACATTTAGAATACCAAGAAAAAAAACGAGAAAATTGCAAAGGGTACATTCCATAAAGAAATGTAAAAATTGTGAGACATAATCTTGTAAATCTTAAAAAAGTTGGGATTACAAGACAAAAAATCTGACTTCCATAAAGTAACTGGTAAACAAACTCATAATTCCAAGAAAGACCCAGAATTTGAAGAGAAAAATTATGAAATTGTGAGAATGTAAACCCAAAATTACAAGAAAAAATCCCCAATCTTTTTACATAAAAACAATATTAAGTCTAGTTGAGCTTCATTGTCACTCCGCTACATGTGTGGACATACAGAAGAACAAAGTGTTGTGTCTTCACATAACTTAATCATAAATACAAACACAACACTGGACATAACTAATATATACTATAACATTATATCCACAATATGCAGACAAAATAAACAATAATGCATTCAAATGACAATGGTGTATATTAAATGGAGTTGGCTGTAAAAGGCTAGTCTGTAATCTGTTTATGATAAATGTACAGTACAGTATTTAGGTCGAGCTGAAACAATACATTCAGACTCACCGTCAAGTAGGTCACGAATTTTATCCATGTAGATTTCAAAATAGGAGACCTTGAGAGAGAAAGGAGAGCAGCTTAATGATGTGAAATAATCTTAATCCTTCATTAGAAAACAGAAACAAGCCTGTGTGAATTAATTTGATTTATCTGTCAGCACCTTAATGTGGAACTCCAGGTTTTCATCCATGGTGTAAATGTGGTTGAAAATATCTTCGGCAATCCTCGGGATAATTCCCCTTCCATTAGCATCGTGCAGTTTTCCCTGTCGGAGAAAGCAAATTAATTCATTAATTGATCATGCACACTTTGATTGACGAATAAATTGGCGTTATTTTAATGTGAACAACATGCGAAACATCTGCTATTCTGTTTTCGCAGAGGAAAATAACACAAAACGGATTTGGAGTGTTATATGGGTGAGTAAATCATGAGCTGATCGTCATTTCTGAATTGATTTAATTTAATAATGAGAAGCTGCAGTACCTCCATTGTGTATGTTTTACCAGATGATGTCTGTCCGTATGCAAATATGGTGCCGTTGTAGCCGTCCAGAACATCTGTAAACGAAAAACCAAAATATTTAAAGTGTGGTTCATTCATAAACTAATTTCGAGAGGATCACGTGCTTATGATCAACACGGCTGGCTCCTTATTAGCTCCGTAATCTGCCCTATTAGATGATTACGGAAGCATTATAAATAAACTGAGTTTTTCACTCCAGTTATCTTCGTCTTGAAGCTCCCCCCTCCCTTTTCCACCCCTACATCCTCCCTCTTTTCTGATAGGGCGACACGGTGCCCCAGTGGCTAGCACTAATGCCTCACAGCAAGAACACCGCTGGTCCAACCTATCGGGCCGGTTGGTGTTTCTGTGTGGAGTTTGCATGTTCTCCCCATGTTCGCGTGGGTTTCCCCCGAGTTCACCGTCCAAAAACATAAACCATAGCCAATCGACCAAACCAAAACAACCAGAGTTTACACTACTTACGGCGACAAGCAGGGGAGTTCTCGAGACCTACCAGACCTCGCCCCTCTCGCCCCCTCCCCTCTCACCCTTTTAACGGGAGGGAGCCCCGGGCTCGAGGATATTGCAAGCTTGGGGCTCTCTCCCGAGACAGCACGCCAAATACGCTTTATTGATTATCAGCTAAGTGTGAACTCTTAAAGACTAAAATGCTTATTTACAGGTTTTTATAATAGTTGTGCCACAAATTTCACAACCCTGATGTCAATTTTCAAAACTCTAATACCGTTTTAGAACTCTAGATCAAAATTCACAAGCATTGACAAAATTGCATAATTTTACAAGACTCTTAAAGGTGCAGTATGTAAGTTTGACACCCAGTGGTTGAACTAGGTATTGCATTCATAGATCAAAACAAACTGGATAGGATTTGGTTATTGACAATTTGACATGATCCAGGATCGTTTCGTTCTTCAATACTGATGTGAGAGTTGTTGTCATAGCAACAGTTCTGCTAGCTCAAACCTGGTCGGAAGCATGTTCAATTCATATAAATAGGATTAGATCGGCTCAGTTTAAACAAAGATAATACTGAAAGTATGTACCGAAGTCAGATATTTTCTTGCAGTAGTAGTTATATACACTTGGGAAAATAGTAAATATTTTTAAACTACATATAGTTTTATATATATATATATATATATATATATATATATATATAAAGTTATAGTTATTAATTAAATAAATAAAGTTATATATTAATAAAACTTATGCAATCTGCACCCCCGAAATGAAAGTACAAAGACTGCCACCTGGTGGTGCAAAGAGAAAACTTATTGATATGAACTTTTTAGATCGCTTTAGTACAATTTGTGTATGATAATAGACATGCACAATATGTGACTTTTTTTAAAAGCAATAATACATTTATGCTGACATAAACATGTTTTGACAGTAAATATGACGGTGATTTGATGCTTCACAAAAGTTGCAGACGCCTTTACCAATATCAAAATGCTTTCGTAAACATCCAGTTATTGTAAACGTAACGTTATTGCGTATAACATTTAACAAACCGTTTCCAATGTATTTGATGTAATTTTGCTCACATGGATAATTGAATATTAATCAGATGATGTCATTACGCTGCTGTGTCGTCAGCCAATCGTTGCATTGCTGATCATGATTTCGAGGATGGATAGATCTGTCCTTCACAACACACGCAGCGATCTTAGTTCAGTTCATCCAGACATTCTAATCTGATTCACAAACTTGTTTGAAGAACCAAATTAGCGAGAGATCAGTCATCAAGATTAACAGATCCAGGATCTGCCAAATCATCTTAGATCTTTTAAGCGAGCTACAAAGAACAGACCCCAGGTTGCCAGATTGAGGACCAACAGGAGTGAGCCTGACTATCGAGCCTAAAGGCGGATTTAATTTACGCTCTAAATAAAAGCAACAGCACCTCATAGAAGGAATATTCCCCATATTAAAAAGAGCTTTTCTTCCAACCAACACCAACTTTATATTTTAGAAACGGCTTCTATTTCTTGCAGCCAAAATACAGAAAGCTGACAACGATCAGCTCAGGTACAGCTCATGTGCTTTATTCAGTGTTAAATGCTAATAATGTGAGTTTAAATGCCATTTCGCATGACATTTATTGCCGTACTCCTGAAAGCAGCAGCAGATAGTTCAGTTCAGATCTGGTGAATAAAATGAAGCGTCTGAAACTGAACTTCAGAACTGAGACTGAACACACATCAGTGATTCAGCATCTGCATTTAATCATGTTAAAAAGGTTTAATATGTATTTGTTAGAATATAAACCTCATCATTGTGCTGGAGTGCAGTAAGTGCACTATTCTGTGCTTCTAAATGGCTGTGTTTACATTTCTCTTGTGTTTTGTTTAGTGCAAACAACCAATTTGCTCATCACTGCGTATCTCGTCACATAGCGTCAGAGGTGGGTAGAGTATCCAAAATCTATGCTCAAGTAAAAGTACAAGTACACTGTAAAAAGTGGAAACTTAAACAAATTACTTTGACTTGTTACAATTAAATGAATTAAGTTAGACAAAATTAATTCATAACAGTTTTCAGTAAAAAATTAAGTTAGTTGTTTAAGGTGTAACAGGATTTAGTAAGTTATTTATGACAAGTATAAGTATTGTTCGCTATCAATATTAAGCAATACTTGTATTTGCCACAAGACAATACAGTACTATTTTTATATTAAGAAGGGAAGGTAATTACTTTTACTTTAATAAAAGTACTTTTTACTATTATTATTATAGTTACAATATTGCATTGAATGATTTGTACCGTACTGTACGTACTGTTCCATTCTTGTTTTCTAAAATAAATTACTAAAACCCGTTACAACCAAAAGAACTCATTTAACTTTTTACTGAAAACTGTTATGAATTAAGTTTGTCAAACTTAATTGATTTAATTGTAACAAGTCGAAGTAATTTGTTGAAGTTTTCATTTTTTACAGTGTCCTTGCGGAAATGTTTACTCAACTAAAAGTAAAAGTAACAATCTTAAAAGAAACTTGAGTAAGAGTAACAAAGTATCCGATGAAAAAATCACTCGAGCAAATAGTTACTAGTTACTTTTTATTTTTAATATATATAGCATGGGATGATAACGATTTTCAAGGTATACCGCGGTTTGGACAACAGTATCTCCAGCAGGAAAGATATCCAAAGATGCCATTTTAAATTGTAAAGAAATCAGTGTTTTTGAAACTTTGGGACACCGACAACAGGCGATATGTGACAATCACTCCCCCACAAGAGCAAGCTCCTGATTGGTTAACGCAGTGCGAATGTCTGTGGAAGTTTAGATTTTTGAACTCAAGTGATTCGCGCAAAACTCGCGTTAAGCGTGTCAAACGCGCAAAACGCTCAATTTGTGCTGCGCTACTTGCACCGCGTCATTCACACAATTCGCGCTGCGCCATTCGCGCGTATCGCGCTATTTGCACTGCGGCATTCACGCAATTCACGCTGCGCCGTTTGCGCGTATCGTGCCGCAGGATGTCTGTTCGCGCGTTTGCATTGACTTAACATGTAAATCACTTGCGCTTGACGCGTGTTCCGCGTGTGGTGTGAACGCAGCATGAATCTGCGTCTTATTTCGGAGTCAGCTACTGTCCACCAGAGGTCGCATTTCAGTCATGAATGCATGCTTAGAGAGCCTTCCTGATGGAATGAATGAAATACGCTGTTTTCCACCAAGGCAACCCGGAGTGCTGAAATATAACTGGCTAAACTGGCATTGGGTGGGTTAAATGACCAAAACAAAGACTGACGTTCTGTGCATGTAACGCACATGTTCAAAGCAGAATATCTGACCTCAGCATTGTTTTTCAGATAAACAGGAATGTTCACTGAGCATGTTTCTCAAATATCTGCACACATATGATGCTGTTTTATGCTTTAGAAGAGTCAAACACTGACATACAGCACCTCTTTTTTTCAAATGCTTGGATACACACACAAGTCAAAGATACTTTGTTCATTGAACTAAAATCCATTGTTCAATATAACACAATTAAACTTGATTCCATTAAATTAAATTCCATTAATTTAAATGTATTCCCTTTCAAAATGCAACTCAAGCATGATGCATTTATACAGAAACTCACCTTTGACGATCTGTTGGGCACAAGTGTTGTACACCTGCTCTTGTGTGCAATTTGTGGGGAAGACTTTGTCAAAGACGTACGATCTCCCCTGGAAGACACAGATAGAGTCATATTTACAGGTGTGAAGATGAATGCTTTCAGAATCCCTGTACATCAGTTATAGGGGACACGGAATCTGCACGCATGCAGAAATCCGCAGATTTTTAAACCATCGAGTCTATTTATTTACTTGTCCAAATGAGTGTACATTAACATTTATTCAGTTTTTGAATGAATTTGTGCAATAATATCGACTGATATGACAGGATTCATTTGATTTATTTACAATACAGTTTGTAAAGTCATATTTTAAAGTCTTTTAGGAGACATATTATATATGACTTACTTTGTTTACCAAAGTGGATATAATTAAATTTGCATTGTAAACATTCATAAAAGTTTAAAAGCTGCTATTATTTATTTTAAGTTTTTAGTTAGAGCAGCGCAGTGGTTCCCACATAGCAAACGGACTTGGCCCAAATGTGGCCTCATTATGGCACTGCTGGCGTGAGGCCGGCACTGGCATGCATAATGTCAGCTGAATGTGGGCCATGTTTGGCAATGATGGCACTGGTTGCATGACGGCAAAACTACATTTGGGCCAATTGTGGATGGGAGGTGTGTGGCCTAGATCAGTGTAGCGATATCCACAAGATCATCAATATCAAGGCAAGATTATTCTCTCTCTCTTTCTCTCTCTCTCTCTCTCTCTCTCTCTCTCTCTCTCTCTCTTATAATAATAATAATAATTGTTTTGAGTCAGTGAAACAAGCTATAGGTAAAAAAATAAATAAATAAATAAAAAAAAAAAATAAAAAAAAAAAAAATATATATATATATATATATATATATATATATATATATATATATATTTTTTTTTTTTTTTTTTACCTATAGCTTGTTTCACTGACTTAAAACAATTATTATATATATATATATATATACCTTACACATGAAATACATGTGAGTTAGTTAGATGTGGGTCGAATCTGGGCTAACAGCTTTTATTTTTCAGAAAGGATCACAAAATCTATTTGACCAGAACAAATATGCTTTTTAAATGTGCAAATATAAATATACATATATATATGTATATGTATATATATATATATATATATGTATATATATATATATATATATATACATATATATATATATATATATATATATATATAATAAAAAACTAATTCACATGTAAAAAGTTTTCCATACATTTTAGTTTTAGCACCACAAAATTATTGTGGTCAAACTTGATCAGAATTGTTAGTGTCCTTTTTAAAATGATTTGAAAATCAGTGACTGAAAACAAAAACAAAAACAAAAAGCTAACTGGATGATCAATTGTTGGCGCGATCTCCACAGTAACAACAGCTTTTCTGGTTGGTGGATGAGGTTCACGTGATACAGCATCGGTTGAAATTTGTCTTATGGCTCAGTTTTGGGGTTTCTGGTTAAAAGGTGGCGTTGATATGGTTAACTTATGGCTGAGAATCGGTACCAATAATGAACCTGTTTTGGCCCAGTTCAGGGCCAGTTAAGGGTGATAAATTGGCTGAGATCCGGTTATGGCCCATGTGTGGCCCTTTTCTTTAATCCAGTTATGGGCCACTTCAGGGCCGTCGTTCTTTGCGGTACTTGGGCCAAGGGAAAAGTTATTGTGTGGCCCGGAGCTGGGCCAGAAAACATTTGCTATGTGGGTTAGCACTGTGGCCACACAGCAAGAAGATCGCTGGTTCGAGTCCCGGCTGGGTCAGTTGTCATTTCTGTGTGGAGTTTGCATGTTCCCCACTTGTTGACGTGGTTTTACATTTACATTTAGTCATTTTATCCAAAGCGACTTACAAAAGAGGACAAGAAGCAATTTACACAACTATAAGAGCAACGAGTAAGTGCTGTAGGCGAGTTTCAGGTCTGTAAAGTGTAAAGTGTAAAGTTTTTTTTTTTTTGAGTACAGTTAGTGGTATATCCAGAGAGGCAATTGCAGATTAGGAAGAAAAGTGGAGACTAAATAGTTGAGTTTTTAGTGGTTTCTTGAAGACAGCGAGTGACTCTGCCGTTCTGATGCAGTTAGGGAGTTCATTCCACCAACTGGGCAGATTGAATGCGAGAGTTTGGGAAAGTGATTTCTTCCCTATTTGGGATGGAACCACAAGGCGACATTCATTCACAGAACGCAAGTTTCTGGAGGGCACATACATCTGCAGAAGTGAGAGCAGATAAGAAGGAGCAAAGCCAGAAGTCGCTTTGTAGGTAAACATCAGAGCTTTGAATTTGATGCGAGCAGCAACTGGCAGCCAGTGCAAACGGATGAGCAGCGGAGTGACGTGTGCTCTTTTAGGGTCATTAAAGACCACTCGTGCTGCTGCGTTCTGAAACAGCTGAAGAGGTTTGATAGAGTTAGCTGGAAGCCAGGCTAGTAGAGAGTTGCAATAGTCCAGTCTGGAGAGAACAAGAGCTTGAACAAGGAGTTGAGCTGCATGTTTAGATAGGAAGGGTCGGACCTTTCTGATGTTACAGAGTGCAAATATGCAAGTTATGGTGTAGAGTCGAGTTGGCAGAAACTTCAAGCATTTCTGTTTTCGCGAGGTTCAGCTGAAGATGATGATCTTTCATCCAGTGTGAAATATCCAACAGGCAGGCTGAGATGCGAGCTGGAACCGAGGGATCATCAGGACGAAAAGAGAGGTATAGCTGGGTATCATCAGCATAGCAGTGGTAGGATTTCCTCCAGGTGCTGCGGTTTCCCCCACAGTCCAAACACATGCACTATAGGGGAAATGATGAACTAGATTGGCCGTAGTGTATGAGTGAGTGTGTATGAACGTGAGCATGTATGGGTGTTTCCCAATACTGGGTTGCAGCTAGAAGGGCATTTGCTGCTTAGAACATGTGGTGAAATAGTTGATGGTTCATTGCACTGTGGCAACCCCGGATGGAGACTAAACTGAAGGAAAATGAATGAAGGATTTGATATGTAACAGCAGCACATAACTTTGAATGAACGTTCTCCTGCAAGAGTGTGTGTTAATTAGCTGAAGTTCTGCTTTCTGTTAGCTGGACACACAAAAGTCCAGCATGTTCTAATTAAAGATGAAAGAGATCAGAAGTGAAGCAATAGACTGCAACACACACACACACATGCTGCAGATTAAGGGCTCGAGTCAGTAATTAGTCCCTCTCTGCTGTTTCCAAGAGATTTCACTGATCCTCAGAGGAGCATCAAAGTCTAGAGGGCAGAAAAACACCTGAAGAGTCACACACACACACATAAAAGCACAACCCACACACTCATACACACTCACACATACATATATGTATACACACACTCACACTTGCACTCTCCCATATACATAATTCAAACACAACAGAACACACACACACACACAGAAACACATGCACTAACACACATACTATAAGCACAACCCACTCACTTATACACACACACACACAAATATACTCACACATGCACTTCCACACAAACACAACACACATATACATTCATACATACACTCACACATACATAGTACAAGCACAACACACATACTCACACACTAGCACACACATGCATGCACACCACACACACACACACACACGCACACACTCACTCACACACTAGCACACACATCCATGCACACCACACACTCACACATGCACTCACTCACACACACACACACACACATACACACACACACACACACACACACACTCATACATACACTCACACACATACTCACACACATGCATGCACACCACACACTCACACGCAAACATACACACACATTCACCCATGCACTCAAACACACACACACACACATACATGCACTCACACACTTACGTACTACAAGCACAGCAGACACTCATACACACCAGGACATGCATGCATGCACAACACAGACATGCACTCACACTCACACATGCACTCACACACACTCACACACACACACACACACACACACACACACACTCACACATACATGCACTTACGCACACTCACACATGCACTCACACACACACACACACATGCAAGCACACCACACACTCACACATACATGCACTTACACACACACATTCACACATGCACTCACGCACTCACACATACATGCACTCACACACACTCACACATACATGCACTTACACACACACTCACACATGCACTCACACATACATGCACTCACACACACTCACACATACATGCACTCACACACACTCACACATACATGCACTTACACACACACTCACACATGCACTCACACACACACATACACATACATGCACATACATGCACTTACACACACACACACACACACACACACACACACACTCATACATGCACTCACACACAGATAAACACAACATAAACACACACTCACACATGCACACCCACACATACAAACACAACATACACACACACATACAAACACAACATACACACACACATACAAACACAACACACACACTCACACATACATGCACTTACACACACTCACACATGCACTTACACACACACACACACACACACACACACATGCAAGCACAACACACACACACTCACACATACATGCACTTACACACACACTCACACACACACACAAACAAGCACAACACACACACTCACACATACATGCACTTACACACATACTCACACATGCACTTATACACACACATACAAACACAACACACACACTCACACATCCATGCACTTACACACACACATTCACACATGCACTCACACATACAGGCACTCACACACACTCACACATACATGCACTTACACACACACTCACACATGCACTCACACACACAATCGCACATACATGCACTTACACACACACTCACACATGCGCTCACACACACATACAAACACAACACATACACACACTCACACATTCATGCACTTACATACACACACACACACACACACACACCACTCATATATGCACTCACACACAGATAAACACAACATAGACACACAGTCTCACATGCACACCCACACATACAAACACAACATACACACACACTCATACATGCACTCACAAACATAGGTACTAC